GATCCCGCCGGACGGAGGGGGCGAAGTGCGACCGCCGGTAGGCGGAGGCCCGGGCGGCCTAGAGGTGGCTCCTCCGGGTCCTCGACCAGGGCCTGGGATGTGAATGGATGCGCGTCTCTGCTCAAGGCTGCACCGGTCCTGGTCGCCTCTAAACTGTCCGCCCTCATGGGCTTGAGTAAGTGGGCTGGGGTGGCAGTTCCGACTGTAGGAAACGGCGGTGAGAGGGTGAGTGGGTGCGGTTGAAATGCTAGCAGCCTGATGTCCAAAATGAAAACACGTGATTTTAAAAATCGTTTCCCGAGAAGACTGGTGGGGAGTGGGGAGGAGGAATGCACACAGAGTCCATTAGATACCTGCTAGACACAGACCTGTCATTCATTGCAGAAGCACCTCTGCAGACCCACAAGGTCCAAGGCACTGGAGGAAGACCAGGACCCTGCTCTCTGTGCGATAGACCGATTTAAACAAGCAAGCAAGGTAATGGCAGATTGTGTAAGGCTCTGCAGGAAATGACACAACAGTGATGAGAGAGATTATGTATGCCCTTTGGCAGGAGAGAATGGCTGGACAAGACCACTAGAGGGAAGTGGCAGTTGAGCAGCCTTCTGAGAAAAAGAAGGAAATACACGTAGACACAACTTTACCTACAGGGTTGGTTCTAGAACCCCCTGGATAAAAGCCCGCGGATTCTATGTGAAGAACCTGTCCCCAAAGCCTTCTAGGGGCTGTTTCTGTGCTTCTGTAGTTTCAGGAGGCCTGCTCGCCCTGTAGACTTCATGGGGGTTTGGACTACATCATTGATAGGAGAGGTTCAAGGCATCAATTAGAGAACTTTGGTCTGCAGACAGTGAGACCTCAACACATGCTTCATTGCATGATACCCTCAGCCTTGAAAGACAATTTCATTAACCTTTCACGGTCTCTCTTTCCGTGTCACTTTTTCTCAGATCGGTGAGCAAAATAACTTTTACCTGGGATCAAGAGGAGATTAATCTTGCCAAAAGAGCATACTATTTTATGCTCTGAATAAAGGATGAATGACATATTTTGCTGAATCAGTTAAAAGACAAAATTAAAAGCTGATTTGCAAGAAAGAGTACCTATTCAGGTAATAATACATTACCTGAATAATATCAGTAAACTCAATGATTTTTTTTCTTTTTAAAAAAAATATATATTTTATTGATTTTTTTTTACAGAGAGGAAGGAAGAGGGATAGAGAGTTAGAAACATCGATGAGAGAGAAACATCGATCAGCTGCCTCCTGCACACCCCCTACTGGGGATGTGCCCGCAACCAGGGGACATGCCCTAGACTGGAATCGAACCGGGGACCCTTCAGTCCGCAGGCCAACACTCTATCCACTGAGCCAAACCAGTTACGGCGATTTTTTTCTTTTTTAAATATATTTTTAAATTATATATTTTTATTGATTTCAGAGGAAAGGAGAGGAGGAGAGATAGAAACATCAATGATGAGAGAATCATTGATCGGCTGCCTCTTGCACGCCCCCTACTGGGGACCAAGCCTGCAACCTGGACATGTGCCCTGACTGGAATCCAACCATGACCTCCTGGTTCATAGGATGATGCTCAACCACTGAGCCACAATGATGGGCCTCAATGATGTTTATTAAATATCAGTTTATATAACTGCATAATTAATCCAAAGATTGTTTGGATAATATTACGATGAAACTCTCTTGCCCTTTTTATTTTACTCTAACTACTTGTTTTGACTCAGACCAAACTAACTGAGAAATATTTTGTTGTGTCTTCTGGGAAATCTGGGAGAGAGCTCACACTTATTGAGTACCTGTGATTTGCACAACATTGTGAAAGCACTTAAATATCCCTTTCAGTACTGGACCAACCTTCAGATATGGGGGTTACTATACCCATTTTAGTAACAAAGACATTGAGATTCAGAGAGATTGTGACTTGCCTAAGTTAACAAAACTAGTAGATGGAAGAACTAAAATTTGAACTCAGATCTTCTGGCCCTAATTCCCTTCATACCATGTTGCTGTACTTTAGTATTTATTTAAGAGGGCAATATAAGCAAAGTGTCCAGCCAAGCAGATTTCTATGTTGCTTTTAGAATTTTATTACAAAATATACTTTTACATAGACTATACATGAGGCAATTTTGGAACTTCTCTGTGTTTTACTTCTCCCTTTATAGGATACTTGCTTTCTATTTGGCACCATAAAAACTACTTGCTTTATT